AGGGGCGGGGAGATGGGAGTGCAGGGCAGTAAAGCCCTTTAGACATGTGAAGGGAGCTACCCCAGTCCCTGCTCTCAGTGTACGAGGCTGGAGCTGGCAATGAACAGCCCACAGGGTGATATAATTCCCTCCTCTCCTTCAAACGAGCAGCTTTCAGGAGTTGGCCAAGCTGGGTCACCCCAAGAGCTGTTGGGGGCCTTAGTCCGGGGCCTGCTCCTCCCAGGCAGCATGAGTGAGATCTGAGGGGCCAGTCTCTCGTGCACAGCAGGGCTGCTGTACTTTCAGGGACCTTTGCCAGTCTGCCCCACCACAGGTGCAGCCCTGGGCGAGGACTGACTGCCCCAAGTGGGCCAGGTGGCTTGTTCTGAGGGAAATTCCTGCCAGCGCTGCAGGGGCAAGGCTGTTACAGAGACTCCTGGCTAAAGAGAGCGTCTGCCAGGGGCTATTGCTGAAAAAGGGCTCCCCAGGATTGCCCCCGTCCTCTCCCAAGGGTCAGCCAGAGAGACAGCCCCTGCAGAAGGGTCACTTCTAAGTGGAGTTTTGTGGCCACTGCTGGCTGCTCTCAGGACTTTGGGCCCTCTTCTTCCTCCCCGGCTGACAGCTCTCCCACTGCGCCTCCCAGCACAGGCCACGGGGGGAGAAATCAGCAGAACGGCCGCAGCTCCTCACTACGGGACAAGGTCAGAGCAGATCTTCATACCGGCGCTGCAGGGGCTCTATTGCTACAGGAACGGCTTAAAGGGCTCCCTGTGGGTCTGGGGCCATAGGGCTGGAGGCTGTCAGGCTGCCCAGCTGCTGTAAATCAGCACAGCTCCATTGGCTTCAATGCTGATTGGTACCAGCTGAGGGTGTAGGCCTCAGCCTGCCACTTCCCCCAGTGAGCAGCCTGGTGCTTCTGAGTCAAACAGCTCCCTTAGCGTGCTGAGGGCTGGGCTCAGCAGGGCAGGCCTGGGCTAGACTGAGTTGGAGAGGCTGGAAGCCCCCAGCGTGTTACCAAACCAGGGCCACCCGCAGAACGAGAGCGAATGTCTGGAGTGCATAGGAATGTGGCGGAGGGTCTCAGGTAAGCGACACTTTCCCCTTGTGAGGGGACAACCCCACGCTGGCTTGTACGTGATGAGTTGCTCCACTAAGTCATGCAGTTAAGGGAATAGGTGCTGTACACAGTCCCTTATCCAGCCCCAGCACTTGGTGCTATAATTCCAGTTTTTGCTAGCTTTAGTGCAAAACTGAAAGGCAGCATCTAATGTAGCGAGTGGGTGCTGGGCTGTAGCAGTGGATGGTGTCACTGTGCTGGATTGAGAGATGTCTGACAAACATTCATGTATCTCTTTTCACAGAGCAAGAGGCTCAGTTGTTCTCAGTCAGCTGTGCAAATCTCAGTGGCAAAAGCCGGCCTTCAGGGAGGGCTGTTGGTGCAGGCAAATTCAATAGGAGAGGAGGGCTTTGTGTGACACTTTCTGCTGCTTTCCTAAATGGGGCCTTCCCTTCCCCTACCCCCCAAATGAGACCCATGTATTTATTGGTAGCTACGGATGGAGTTTATTTGTGCCTGATTATTGATTATTTTGGGCTGCTATCTTTCCCAAGAAATGGTACACCACATGGGGTATGTCTTAGTCCCCAGGAAAAGCTTAGCCCCAGTCCCATGCATGGGAATATTTACAAATAGCCACAAGATGGCACCCTAGGTCCTCTTCATTTCTCTAGCCCATCTTGCTGTGTGGCTCAGCTGCCCAGCTCACATAGGCAGATGTTTTGCTCTGTTGCCGGGGAGTTAATGAATCAGTTCATAAAAGGGCAGGACTAGCTGTTTTGATTAGAGTCAGAGCTGGCATAAGTAAGGTTTGTGAAAGCTTCCTGGTCCTCCTATCCCTGGCTTTGCCTGTCCATCTAGATCCCAACCCACAGCTACTCCCAGCTGTTCCGTTCCAAACTCCCACCCTGCGCTGCCCATGCCTTTAGCTCCTGATGTGCCGCACGCTCTGTCATCCCAGGCCTGAGAGGCGAATCGATCTCCCAATGCACCATTTCAGAACTCGGCCTTTTTTAAGGGCTTGGTTTTTCAGAAGAGCTCAGGGCCTTATTTCCAGACATGCTCAGCACCCATAACTAAGGCATGTCTTCAAGAGCGCAGCAGCCAGTAATGCATGAGAACGTGGGACCGGCCATACTGGATCCGAGGAATAGTCCGTCTCACCCAGAATCCTGAGTTCTGGCAGGGCTAGTCCTAATCAATTGGGTCACTTTTGGCAGATTGAAAGGGAAATGGAGGTATCTGTGGCAGGCAGGCAGGCAGGGCTGGTCCTAACCAATTGGCGGCCCTGTAGCGTTGCCAGATGGTTTAAAAAAAAATACCAGACAAAAATTTGTCAAGCCAAAAAAAAGGGTCGGGGGGAAACCTGGGAGGAGGATTCAGGAGGTCTGGCTGAAATGCGGTCGCCCACCCCTGAGACCAGCTCTGGTGGCTGGGATCAGGTACTTCAGAGGGAACGAATAGAACAGAACAATTATCGAATTATCCATCCATCCCCTGTTGTCCAGCCCAAGCTTTGGGCAGGTGGAGGTTTAGGGGCACCCAGAGCATGAGGTTGGTTCCCTGATCATCCTGGCTATCTTCCAGGAGCTTAATCTAATTCTTTTTTTTTTTTTTTTAAACCCAGTCATGTGTTTTGGCATTCACGACATCCCATGTTGAAGAGTTATTTACTTATTCCCACAGTATAAGAACTAGGGGTCACCAAATGAAATTAATAGGTAGCATGCTTAAAATAAAAAGGGAAGCTTTCTTTCACACAGCACAGAGTCAACTTGTGGAACTCCTTGCCAGAGGATGTGGTGAAGGCTAGGACTTTAACAGGGTTCAAAAAAGAGCTAGATAGCCATTGATGGACCTAATCTCCATGAGTCTATTTGCTAGGATGGGTAGGAATGGTGTCCTTAGCCTGTTTATCTGGAAATGGGTGACAGGAGAGGGATCAGATGAGGATTCCTGTTCTGTTCACTCCCTCTGGGGCACCTGGCACTGGCCACTGTTGGCAGACAGGACGCTGGGCTGGATGGACCTTTGGTCTGACCCAGTCTGGCCGTTCTTATGTTCACGGCAGAGTTCTACAGGCTGACTGCGTGTTGTGTGAAGAACTTTGGTCATTTAAAACCTGCAGCCTATTGACACAAGCACCAGAGAGAGTCTAATTCACCCTTTTACATAATGTATAACATTTCCTTAGTCACGGTCTCCACACTGTTCATGGTTTTATAGGCCTCTGTCATAACCTGCCCCCGTCCTCATCTGAGTAGTCTCTTTTCTAAGCTGAATAGCCTCTTGGTGTGGTGTGGTTTGTTTGTTTTTTAAATCCTGCCCCACGTGGAACCTGTTCCATCTCCTGCCTTTCTCTGCACTTTTGCCAATTGTCATGTGTCCTATTTGAGCCGTGAGAATGTAATGCAGGTGTGGGCATACCACAGATTTATACAGTGGAATTATAATATTTTTCTGTTTTATTATCCATCCCTTTTCCAACAGTTCCTAACACTGTTAGCTTTTTTGACTGCCACTGCACGTAGTTCTCTGAAAATATCTGCTCAATCCACACTGACTCCCAAATCTCTTTCCTGCATGTTAACGGTCAACTTAGACTCCATTTTGTATGTATAGTTTGGATTGTTTTCCTATGGGCCACCTGGCACTGGCCACTGTTGGCAGACAGGACGCTGGGCTGGATGGACCTTTGGTCTGACCCAGTCTGGCCGTTCTTATGTTCACGGCAGAGTTCTACAGGCTGACTGCGTGTTGTGTGAAGAACTTTGGTCATTTAAAACCTGCAGCCTATTGACACAAGCACCAGAGAGAGTCTAATTCACCCTTTTACATAATGTATAACATTTCCTTAGTCACGGTCTCCACACTGTTCATGGTTTTATAGGCCTCTGTCATAACCTGCCCCCGTCCTCATCTGAGTAGTCTCTTTTCTAAGCTGAATAGCCTCTTGGTGTGGTGTGGTTTGTTTGTTTTTTAAATCCTGCCCCACGTGGAACCTGTTCCATCTCCTGCCTTTCTCTGCACTTTTGCCAATTGTCATGTGTCCTATTTGAGCCGTGAGAATGTAATGCAGGTGTGGGCGTACCACATATTTATACAGTGGAATTATAATATTTTTCTGTTTTATTATCCATCCCTTTTCCAACAGTTCCTAACACTGTTAGCTTTTTTGACTGCCACTGCACGTAGTTCTCTGAAAATATCTGCTCAATCCACACTGACTCCCAAATCTCTTTCCTGCATGTTAACGGTCAACTTAGACTCCATTTTGTATGTATAGTTTGGATTGTTTTCCTATGGGCATTATTTTGCATTTATAATTTCATCTGCCTTTCTGCTACTCAGTCACCCAGGTTGGTGAGATCCTTTGGTAACTCTTTGCTGTTTACAAAATTGCTCAAGATAGTTTTCTCTACCACTTTGTCGCCTCGCTGTTTGCTCCCTTTTCTATATCCCTTATGAACATGTTGGCCTGTAGTGGCTTCAGTACCGATCCTTGGGAGACTCTGCTGTTTACCTCCCTCTGCTGTAGTGTGACCAGGTGTCTGGTTTTTGACTGGAACACTCAGTTGAGTCAGGACCCTGATGGCTCCGGTCAGCATTCCCAACTGCTCTGTTAAAAGTCCAGACAGCGGTGCCGCAGGGCTAAGGCAAGTTTGTTGCTACCTGTCCTGGCACTGCACTGTGTTCTGAAGTGACCAGTGTCTGGCCATGGGGCTCTGCATGCTGCTCCTACCCCCCCCCCCCCCCCCTCCGAGAGTGG